TCCTTTTGATCTTGTGCACTGTGATATTTGGGGGCCATATCAAACTATTTCTTATATTGGTCATTGATTTTTCTTGACTCTTGTTGATGATTGCACTCGTTTTACTTGGGTTTATTTGTTGAGGAATAAATCTGATGCTGTCTCAGTGGTACCGAAGTTTTTCAACATGGCTTCAACTCAGTTTAATGCCAAAATCAAGATGTTTCGATCTGAAAATGTACATGAGTTATCTTTTGCTGATTTTTTCCAAGATAAGGGAGTTTTGCATCAGTTTTCATGTGTTGACGGGCCCTAACAAAACTCGGTTGTGGAGCGAAAACATCAACACCTCTTGAATGTGGCTCGGTCATTGTTTTTTCAATCCAGGATTCCAGTTTCTTTTTGGATAGATTGTGTTCTTACTGCGGTTTTCTTGATTAACAGAACTCCTTCTCCACTTTTGAGGCACAACACACCTTTTCATTTGTTATACAAAACAGCTCCTGATTACACTCATTTTTGAGTTTTTGGCTGTTTAGCATTTGTTTCCACCTTAGCTGCTCATCGAACCAAGTTCCAACCTCGTGCTCGAGTTTGTGTTTTCCTTGGTTATCCAGCTGGTGTGAAAGGTTATAAATTTTATGATGTGGAGACCAAACAAGTTCTTCTTTCACGAGATGCAGTGTTTCACGAGGAAGTGTTTCCTTTTCATGCTATTACTAGTTCAGATCAAGTTACTGATCTATTTCTAGATTTGGTTCTGCCACATTCTTCATTACAAGCTCATTTTATTTCAGATTTTGCTTCTTTACATGTTCCTGATCCACCTGTTATTTCTGACGTTCCAACTAATCTTGCCATTGACTGTCCTGATACTAATTTTCCAATTGTTTCTCCCTCTAGTGTTGTTTCTACTTCGGTAGCTAATCTTCTCATTGACTGTCCTGATACTAATTTTCCAATTGTTTCTCCCTCTAGTGTTGTTTCTACTTTGGTAGCTACTATTCCAGTAGATGATATTACAACAATTGTTCCTTCTACATCTAGTGATGTTGTTCTTCGAAAATCTACCAGAGCAATTTGTCCACCTAATTACTTGAAGGATTATCACTGCAATTTACTTGCTGGTTTTCCTTCTCATGCTTCAACTTCCACATCTTATCCAATCTCTAACTACATATCTTATCATGTTCTTTCTAATTCACACAAATAGTTTGTGCTCAGTGTATCCTCTCAGGTTGAGCCTCAATACTATCACCAAGCAGTGAAGTTTCTTGAATGGAGATTGGCTATGCATGAAGAGTTGAAAACTATGGAAGTAAACAAAGCTATGGAAGTAAACAACACTTGGACAATCACTTCTCTTCCTCCTGACAAGCATACCATTGGCTGCAAATGGATTTACAAGATCAAGCTTAAATCGGATGGAGCTATTAAGCGATATAAGGCTCGTTTGGTAGCCAAAGGCTATACACAACAAGAAGGTTTGGACTTTGTTGAAACTTTTTCTCCAATGGCAAAATTAGTGACTGTGAAGGTTCTTCTTGCCCTTGCTGCCTCACATAATTGGCATCTAGCTCAATTTGATGTCAACAACGCCTTTTTAAATGGCGATCTTTTTGAGGACATCTATATGGATCTCCCTCTCGGCTATCTTCGATAGGGGGAGTCCTCTCCGTCTCCAAGCAAACTAGTATGCAAGCTTCACGAGTCCATTTATGGTCTCAAGCAAGCTTTGAGACAATGATATTCCAAATTTTCTCAAGCTTTGCTCAAATTTGGCTTTCTTCAGTCAAAATCTGATTACTCTCTTTTTACAAAAGGTCATGGATCCTCTTTTGTTGCTCTTCTAGTTTATGTGGATGATATCATCCTTACTAGTCCTTCACCTCAAGCTATTGATGAGCTCTAGCAAGTTTTGAGACAATGGTATTCCAAATTTTCTCAAGCTTTGCTCAAATTTGGCTTTCTTCAGTCAAAATCTGATTACTCTCTTTTCACAAAAGGTCATGGATCCTCTTTTGTTGCTCTTCTAGTTTATGTGGATGATATCATCCTTACTAGTCCTTCACCTCAAGCTATTGATGAGCTCAAACAGTTTCTGCATACATAGTTTAAGCTCAAGGATCTTGGTTGTCTCAAGTACTTCATTGGTCTTGAGATTCCTCAGTCCAAGCAAGGTATTGTGCTTTCTCAACGTCATTACACCTTACAATTACTTGAGGACGCTGGATACTTGGCTTGTAAGCCCATTGCTGTTCCAATGGATCCAAAACTTTGTTTAACTGCCATTGACGGTGAACTGCTTCCTGATATAACCAACTATTGGTGGCTTGTTGGGAAACTTCTTTATCTCACTTTATCTCGCCCAGATATTACTTTTGCAGTTCACAAGCTCACTTCATTCTTGGCTCAACCTCGACTACCTCATCTCAAGGCAGCGCATCACCTGCTTCGTTATCTCAAGCAAAGTCCTGGTCAAGGGTTATTGTTTTCTTCTAATTCTTCCTTGCAGCTGAGAGCCTTCTCTAATTCTGATCGGGGATCATGCCTTGATTCTCGACACTTACTACAGGTTTTGGCATCTTTATTGGCGACTCTTTAGTCTCTTGGAAGGCCAAAAAGCAGACCACCGTCTCTCGATCCTCAACTGAAGCTGAGTATAGAGCTCTTTCTTCTACTGCCAGTGAGCTCATTTGGTTGCAGCACCTTCTTAATGACTTTCAAGTCAAGGTTGATTCTCCTGCTTTACTATATTGTGACAATCAAGCTGCGATACATATTGTCTCTAATCCAACCTTTCATGAACGAACTAAGCATATCGAGATAGATTGCCATTTTGTTCGTGACAGAGTTACTTCGGGAGTTCTCAAATTGCTTCCCATTAGATCTCAATACCAATTGGCTGACATGTTTACTAAACCTCTCCCATCTCCTCAACTTTTTGCTTTGCTGTCCAAGATGGCTGTAAAGGACATTTACAAGCCACCTTGAGGGGGAGTATTAGGGTGTAATATTGTAGATTAGAGTTTGTTAGACATATACAGATGTCATTTGTTCATTGGTTGTACAGAGTAGACAGATTGTAATTTTTCTTCCCTGCTATTTTTATTAGTTTTTTCCTCTTTTGTAACTGTTCGATGAATGAATAAAGATCATTTTCTTCTTGGCTCTTCTTCTTCTCAAGCTTAATATTTGTCAACTGACACAAATCTAACTAACGTTCTTAGAATATTTTAGATTGCTGATTCAGTATTGGTGTTTCTTTATTAAAATGTGTGGGCTTTAAAAGGTGAACAGGTTGAGTAAAGTTGAGGAGGTGGAGTTTGTTAATCTGTTTTTTGGCTATGGATCAAGCTGATATTTTATGCATTATCATTGTATATTTCTCACTCTTTTCAACCTTAGTGTTACCCGCTTTTAAGGGCATGGTACTTCCTCATGCTCTTCCATCCAATCCAAAAAAGAACTAAAGATTGTTTCTTGATTTTTTTTTCCAATTCCAAAAAATATAAAACTTATGTTTTACTGTCTACCTGTCAGAAAAACCTCAATATAGTTTTTCGTTTCTTTTTGTCTTCTCAGATTGTTCTAAGTTTGCAAAATTTTCATTCTTCTTTGTTATTTCAGTGCGGACATATGTGAAGAGAAGTTTTTGGCATACTTCTGGTGGTTTTATGATAGATTGAAGGCGTGTACAGATATGTTAAATTTGATTTCCTATTTGTTGTAAAAAATTTGATTCATTTTATGAGCCTTTTTATGATATTTTTACCGATATTTTGGTCAATCATTGTGGGAGTAACATTGCAGGAGTGTTGTTGATTAATAATTTGAAGCTTCTTTTTGACTATTTTTCCTAATACTTAATGTTCCTCTTTGGTTCGTATATGCTCCTTAAAATCAAAGTTCTAAATATTGGAACAAACTCACAGCATTTACATTCATGATGGAATTCTATAATGAATTGTTATGAATATGAGGCCGTCATTATGCAACTGTGTGCTACAGAGTTCAACATTTTTTGCTTTTAGACTATTTGCGCGTGTTGCTAATGCAACCGATATTAATGAGAAATTGAAGATGGCAGAAGAAATTCTGAGTAGTTTTCTTAATTACTTCATATGACTTCTGGTGATGCTGCTGGTTCTGTGATCGGGTCTTCCCAAGGACTTGACTGTGTTGCCATCCACCAATTTGCTCTTTACTTATCCCTGAGCGGCCTGCCTTTTTTTCAGAGAAGCCAAAAACAAAAAAAATCGTGCATTTGGTTGAAAACCTTTCAGGTTGATCTGGCTATTTTGTACTACCTCTTCTGGGAAATTCCTATGAACCCATAGGGACAGCATGCTGTTTTTACTGTCTTTATAGAGAGAAATAAATGGTCTACCTATAATTCTACAACTCCAAAGCACATTGCTTTCGTAGAAATATGAAGTTTCTCGTACCCGGCTTTTGCTATTAAAAGCAAAATTAAAGAACTTGGGATCTAATGGAGTGAAACAAAATTTCATCTGCATGACTCGTACTGTAGAGTGGAAAGCTGGACTAGCCTAATTGATGTTATTGCCATGGTGACTCAAAGGGGCTACATCTTTTCATCCGGAAGTTTTGATTGAAACGCTACGTGCTGGATTTGAACATTGAATCATTTTTAACTGCTTATATAAACAGTAACATTTTTCTGTTAATATGAATTAGAGATATATTTTTAATATAACTGGATAAATGGGTTGGTTATTGGATGGCATCCTAGTTAATGGCCAATCCACGCTAATGCTAGAATGTCCTTTACTCCTGTTTGTAGACCAAAATACAATGGGAAGAATGTAAATGGGGAATCAGTCGTCTAGTTCAATTTCACCAGCCATTTGCATAAGATCCATATCTGCTCTCATATTGTATTAATCAACAGCGAGAAAAAATGAAAAAAGGCTATTTATTTGTTTTAATGTGCTTTCTTTGGACCATGTGTGTTTCATGGGTTCATTTTTGGTGGTTCTGTTGTCAATTGTAAGCAGGGAAACACCGGTGATGAGATACCTATGCCTACTTATTTTCGTTTCCTTCCCTTGCTTGCCTTCAAAATATTTGCTGCAGAGCAGGTATACGTGTAATTCTGTTTTTGAAATTACATTAGCATATATCATCACATCGGATAGTCGTTAGATATATTGTCGGGGATGAAATTGTGTCCAAAAGTTTAGCTCAAAGTGGATTTAATTATATTGTGGTGCAGGTGGATGTTGCTATCATGGAGGTTGGGTTAAGTGGAAAATTTGATGCAACGAATGTGGTAGGCATTAGATATGTGGTTATCTTGGTCATAGAATACAGTAATTCTGCTCATCAGATGGTTAATGCTTGCATCCTATTGAAATTCAGGTTCAGACACCGACTGTGTGTGGTATATCTTCCCTTGGATATGACCACATGGAAATTCTTGGTTAGCATTCTATCTCCATGATTTTTTGGTGACAACATAGTCTTGGTTTTTCTTTGTCCATGATATACCTTGCTGCTGGTCAAACCTTGCTAATGCGGGTTGCTTGAGTCTAGCCAGTGACAGATATTCAGAGCTATGACATAAATCAGCAATCGTTTATTATTATTCTTCTTTTTCTTTAGTTTTGAATATCAGTCTGTCAAGTATGTGTCATGCTGGAATTTCTGGACACAACTTAGGAGTTATGGTCACAACACTAATCACTACTTTTAACATAGGCACCCGTTATTTTTCTTTGTTCATAATGTGTACTCCTTGGATGCTACCCAGCTCAGGTGGTGCCAACCTAATATGGTGGCTGTTTCAGTATAGCCAAAAAGATACAGAATTCTGAAATAAATCACAAAGCTTCTTTTGTTAGGTTGATTTTATATAGCGTGCTGTATGCATTTGTCTGTCAGCAGGAAACACTCTTGGAGAAATTGCCGGGGAGAAGGCTGGTATTTTCAAGGTGTTTTAGACTTATATTTCTTTTATTATATACCTCTGAATTGGGGTTCTTCTTACATTCCCTAAACTCATACTCTTATTTATTTTCTCCCTTTCTTTTTAATTCGTTATTTTTTTCTTTGCTGATTTGTTATTTTCTTGCATTCTCTATTGACATAGCTTGGAGTTCCAGCTTTTACTGTGCCCCAACCGGATGAAGCAATGTGTGTGCTTGAAGAGAAGGCTTCCCAGTTGGATGTGAGTTGAGAATCTTTTCTATTAGTGACGATGGTCTGCTACAGTTTATAAGGACATATTCAGAATCTTGCTCCTAACAAGATTGATTACTGTGGATCAACATGGGGACTCTACCCTGTTTTGACTTTGGAGGATGGTAGTTAACTTGGCTTGGGTTGGTAGCTCAAGCCACGGGTTTGAATTGTAGAATGCAACCCTATAAACAGTTATAAGGCCTAAAAATGGCTGTCCCTCTCTTTTTAATAGAAGGGAAAAGCAAAAGAAAAAAAACTTTAACCTGCCATTTTGATTGGTTCAACAAAACAGGATTCTTTCAGGATACTCCTTTGGATTCTGATTACAATTTTGATTTTTAACTTGAGAATTTATGGGACTTGAACCCATGGCCTTGGAAGAGATACCTGCTCATCATGCTGCATGGGCTCTGAGGCCTGTGGTGTAGTCAAGGACCTTAAGTTGCAGCAGCTACCTTGGTTGCCCCTACCTAACTTGTGCCATGATAAATTGGAAAGAGTCGTATAATGTGGTGTTGAACAGAGTTTTGAACAGATTATGCTCATTACAGGTACATCTTCAAGTAGCAGCCCCGTTAGACATCAACTTGCTGAATGGTCTACATCTTGGGCTTGACAGTGAGCACCAATATATAAATGCTGGTCTTGCTGTTGCATTAAGCTCTACTTGGCTTCAAAGGACTGGCCATCTTGAAGTCAATTACCTGCTGCAACAGACTGTAAGTTATGTCAGCAGACAGTATTCCATTCAATTTGTGGCTTGGTATGGTAAACATCGTTCCTTTGGTTTTTGTATTGGAATAGACCTCTCTGCCTGAGCAATTCATTAAAGGGTTAACAACTGCTGCTTTGCAAGGACGGGCTCAAGTTGTCCCTGATCAGCTGATGGGGATTGAAAGCCCCGGAAATCTCGTGTTCTACTTGGATGGAGCCCATAGTCCTGAAAGCATGGAAGTATGTGCAAAATGGTTCTCTCTTGCAATCAAAGATTACCATGAGCCAATTTCCTTCAGTAATTTGGTAGATGATTATAAAAGAGCTTCACTTGAATCAGTACGGATGGACCACCATGAGACTTCCAAGAAGAATCTCACACAGGTAAGGGCCTTTCAACCTTGTTGGATCTGTATAAGTTGAGGAATTCATAAGATAGGCGATGTAATATCTAAATTCTTTCATAGATATGTTAGAGAGCATGTATAAACTGCCTGAATTGGCAAATGAGAATGTGGGTTTGTGCTTGAAAGCAGCCCCCATGAGCGTATTATGCAAATGTTTGGCTTATCTCCAGTTGACCCCTCATAGCAACCCATATTGGTGGCAGCAGCAATTACTAATGCCCTTTTAATTTTTTAAGAGTCTAGACTCTAGAGCCACCTTGGCAGGTGGAGGTTTGAGCTTTGAACCCTATACTTTTGTTACTCATTTAGATAACCTGTGGTTCTATGGTGGCAAAAAAATGAAAAACTCAATTTTAAAAAGCTCGGGTAAGCTTAACTTACGCAATGTAATAGCTTTTTATGCAGTGTTATTCAACCCAGCATGGTGGGTCAACCCGGGAACCCCGCCAACCAGTGCATGAACTGGGTCAGTCCATAAATTAGATCGCCAGGCACCTTTTATGGAACCCCTATAAAACAGACAGTTTGCATTATTCCGCACGGGCCTATTTCTTTATATTAAGACAATCATTGTTTTGCCCTAAAATAAAATATTCGCTCTCGGCCTAAGCTCATGATAGCTCCAGCTCTGCTCCCCTCATCTTGAGGCTGCCTAGCCAAGGCTACTTTTCAGTGCTAGAGGTTGTGGTTGAAGTATACTTCTTATAGACGCATATTCCTCCTTTTTTTCTTATGCCTTTTCGATGTGGAATGAATATTACCACTGAGATGCGTTACCACTGAAATGCATTACCCCTGAAATGCTTTTTTTCCAATTCTTTTATACCTCTTCAGTACCTGTCTTGTTCTTACAATTTTTTTGTCTTTTTGTTTGGTCATTACAGTGTTACATATTGTTTGCAATGGGCTTTTGGTCCAATGATACTCCTTACCTTGTGAAGGTTTTATCTTCTTGCCCGCTCCCCCTCCCAAAAAAAAAAAGTATTCTGCTTAGGCCAATCTTCAATACCTATTTGTGGATTTTTTGATACTTATTAGATCTTATAAATTGTCTAAGAAAATCAATAGAATTGATATTTTTGTGTTTTTTATTTGATATACTATACCTAAAACATGATATATCTATAACTATGGTAAGTTTTTAGTATAGTGATAATCATTAATATATATTTTTTATTTGTTATTGTATGACCAATCCGACTGGTGGACCCATTGACCTGGTTGCTTGCCAAGTTGATACCCAAACCGGTTTTAGTAACTATGTTTTTATGCCATGAAAAGGCCGAGAATGACAAAGGAGATCTAAATATTTGGATGCACACTGTTTGGATGCTTTATAAACAGATGCACTCTTTATTGCTCATGTGGTAAACATGACTGTGGACAAAATTTGAACTGGCTGAATCATCTTAAACTCCCAACTAAAAATCAGATTCTTTGCCAAATTCTGCCTTCGTTTCCATCTCAGTGAGATCTTTTGTATACCATCCAATTCTATGATGTCATGTGAAACCTGAGATAAAAAAGTGTGCGCCCATTAATGCATCAGTCAGTAAGCCAAGCAGTATATGTTGCAATTAAGTTGTGCCTTTTACTTCTATTAGTTTTAGACGTTTTCCACTTGTAAAGTTGCTCTAATGGTATCAAACCCCAACAATGGGAGTTTCTGACTTCTCCCCATACTGCCTTGTTTGTCTTACTTCCAGGAATTTCTACATTCAAGAAATGGGGATATGTACCCTAAGATGCATTGAACCCCATAAAGCTGCGTGTTCACAGTGAACTTATTTTTAGTTGTGTATTCATCATATATTGCAGAATTTTATACTATGGCTGTTATGGAACACCTTGATTTCTGGAAGTTCAAAATCTTTTTTTTATCAGAAGAGATATTGCACATGTCTCTCACTATGCATTTGTTAATGCGCCATTTTTAATGCAGATTTTGTTGTTCAATTGTATGTCAGTGAGAGACCCTCAGTTGCTTCTTCCACGCCTGATGAATGCTTGTGCTAGTCATGGTAAATATTTGAGCTACGTGTACCTATTGAATTATTACTTTAATTAGTGGATTTGGAGGGATGATACAACAAAGAGTTAATGTGCATGTTCTTCTGACGTGATCTAGACGAATGTCTTTCATGTGTCTTTAAAGTGGACAGTGAACACTCTTCACCACCCAAGCTGTGCGCAATGTTTAAGGGCAAAAACTGATGCAAAATCAATGTCATCATAGCATTCTTTTTTAAATATTAATGAAATATCATGGCATTCTGTTTTTGAAATATATTCATGAATTTTTTTTTTTTGATAAAAAAAAAAAAATTTGTGGTGTTTCAGGAGTCCAACTTAAGAAGGCGCTGTTCGTACCAAGCATATCAATGTAATACAAGGTGGGTTCCAGTGCCTTGCCACCATCTGAAACTGAAGTGGATCTTTCATGGCAGCCGACTCTTCAAAGATTATGGGAGAATCTCGTCCATGGTGAAAAAGGTATTGTTCTTACTGTTGTATGTACACACATGTATCAGGCTTTTTTGCTCTTGCATGTTATTTCTATTGTTTTTTCAGTGAATCATAGTTTACCTGTTTGTGAATCAGTGTTACTTTACGTCCTCATTATTTTGAAAACCATACTTCACCCCCTTAGTGTTTAGGACTATAGTGCAATGGCTTACGCTGTTAATAATTACTTTAAAAAGAAAAATAGTGACCTTCATATGTTTCTCTCTTAGTATTTTTCTTTCTATTTTTTTTTAACAAATTGACAAATACATTTAATGCATGTAAAGAGAGGAGAGAGAAGGAGATTGTATTTATTTTGAACAGAAAAAGAAAGAAAAAATATACTATGTATAAGGGTATAAAAATAATTATCATTGGTTTAAAACAAAAATTTATCCATTATTCACCCTGGCTTTTCCCCGAAAGAAACCTGCTAAAGTAGCAGACCTCTTTCCTGCCCACTTCCCCCTATTTTTGGTCTTCACTGCATGCCTCCACTATGCTATCATCTCCTTCGCAATACCACTTCTCAGATTCTCCATTTGTCAAAGATGTGTTTGTATTCGTGTTTGAAAATGAGCAAAAGGAGCCATTGCACTTCTCTCCTTTGCTAAATCCTGTCCATAATTCTAGCTAAACCCTACCACCTTGTTTCACAAAACAACCCTTACCACTGGATTCATCGTGCATTGCCTGTCACCATAGTGCTCCATTTTGCCCATTGCTACTAGTCTCCATCTCCCCCGACTTGGCACCATATTCCTTTCCAAATTGCCAAATGTTTGGAAACTGATCTGTTGTCGTCAATCAAACAAATGCAAACTATTCTGTTGTCATCAATCAAACAAATGCACAGAACGGATCCTAGATTTGACCCCACTACCATAACCAATGGCGGGCCAAACCTCTTCTCCACAGCTGCCACCGACCTGAAAATGAACCCCTAGGGTTAATACTGTTAATTATAAATCATTTATCTATATTGTTTTTTATGTATAATCATATGCAATGGTTTGCAAACAAATACCCTTTTATTTATTGAATGACCTGGATTTTAATCTCCCAATTGATGAATGTAGTAGATCAATGTCCCATTCATCAATTGGGACACTAGTGAAGGAATTCAAAATAGATTTGCAACTTCACCAGCCTCTTTTTCAAAATAGATGTGCAACTGCAAGGAAGAAATGTTGTTTTAATTGGCATGGTTTGTAACTCCGATGGTCCATTTACTTGGTAGGAAGTGATGCAACAAAACCAGATCTATTTTGTGAAGAAAGTCTCAATGATGAAAAAAGTGTCAGGAGTTGTGATGACAACATGGTGTTTCCTTCTCTTCCATTAGTTATCAATTGGCTCAGAGACAATGCCCGGAAAAATCAATCTGTTCACTTTCAGGTATTGTGAAATTTTGCCTGTAAAACTTTAGTTAGAACATCTTGAAGTAAGCTGCTTGAATATGAAAAAAAAAACGTTTCATCTGACTGAAGATATGGTGATCATGACTTGCTTACTCTTCCATAAATTTCCAGTGAGAATTAAGAACTATGGCCTGATTTTGAGCAGTTAATCTGGTTAAAAGAAATAGGTAAAAATTAGTGAACACTGTTCACAAGGTGAACTATTGCAAGACATGATACCATGTCAAGGAATGCAAGACAATTTTGATGGCCATCAGGTTACTGAATTTTTCATGAGACCAAGATCGTGTTGCATCTCGTGATGAGGTATGAAGCACAGACCTGATACATATATGTCGACATAGAATTCCTAAAAATTTAGAAGGCATAAACGGTTAATGTTTTCTAATAGTAATTTTGATGAATATCAAATGATATATATAGTATGTCTGTATAAGATGTAATTATACAATATAAAACATTATGATAATTAACCTAGTACTCTAAGATGGACGTTTAGACTATTGGATAATAACAATTAATAGTTGTCCATTTCTAATAGACAAAGCTAGTAAGCATACATAATCATATTATTTCCTCTCAGGTTTTCAATCCCTGTTATTTAGTAGCACCTTTCAGTGTTTTTTCCTGTAAGTTTTTAAGTAAATTTTTGTTAGGATTGATGATGAAAACTATACATTTTCCAATTTTCAAGTTTATTTTCCAAATGGTTGCAACTGTACATAAAATGTCAACTGAGAGTATTTTTGGTCTGATAAACGACCTAAGAAGGGTCAAACACATTGTCAAAGGAATCCTGATACGGGTCTGAAATTAAGTTTTTTGTTTTCATATTATGGGCATGGCCTAAGGAATATCATATTTGTGTGCGAGTAGTATTGGTGCCCAACTCGGACACACAACTGTCTTAGAAGTGTCCGTGCTTCTTAATGATGACGAAACGTGATGCTTTCCTTTTTGCTGTGAATTGAAAGTTCAGATGGACAAGCAAAAATTACCATTAATAAGTTGGCCATCAATTCTCTAACTGTGTATAGTTAGCGGCGGGGTCTTGTAAAATTATGTTGTCAACAGTTAGCAACATATTGTGTTTCTCAAATTATCAATGGATTTTGCAAATTATGTTGTTATTATGTACTTCCTTGTTTTTTCATATTTATATCTTGTTTGCTTCCTCCTAATCTATTCCCCCTCCCTTTCTCCTTTCTCCTTTCTCCTTTCTCCTTTCTCCTTTCTCCATCCTCCTCTTCTGGTTGATCTTTCAGGTCCTTGTAACTGGTTCATTACATCTTGTGGGTGATGTGTTGAGATTAGTCAAGAAATAAGGCGTGTGCTGCATTTGGTTTGAGCTGCAGCAGATTTTGGGGGTTCACGATTACAAAGTTGAAAATGGACTCGAAATTCAGGCCTCTCTTATGATTCCATCTTGAAGTGCTTCCATTGCATGCTGTATTAGGAAGAGCTTTTGAACCCAAGGTTGCTGTCGCAGGGTTTTTTAGCCTCTTCATTGTCAACTATTTGTGCATTATGCTAAAATTTAGAACTCAAGTTTAAATTATCGTTAGCCAAGTAGTGTTTGATACGACGCTTTCTGTTTATTAATATGCAAGGTGTTGAGCATTTTTCAATGGAGTTTTTCATATTTCACTTTTTTTTTTTTTTGTCTTGGATGGAATGTGCAAGATGTTGGACGAAATTTGGTAATCAATGTGAAGTCAGTCATGCTGATTTCTGGAGCATAAAAAAATCTTAAAAATGAAGCCCAGGACATATACAAGAAAATTATTTTTTAGCGACGAATTTTAGCGACAAACAATAAAATTAGTTGTTGAAAAGTGATTTTTGGCAATGATTTCAAAAGTTTCTTGTGATTTTTATTTTTTATGTTTTTGTGATATTTTGACAATTTTTTTTAGTCGTTGCAAAAATGTTTTTCCCAAAATATTTTTTGGTGCCAATGTTGGTGTTAAATACTAACTTTATAACCAAATCAATAATTATATAAAAATTATAACCTATTACGAATCAATGATTTTCATTTAAAAATTTGGCAAAAAACCAACGTGTCAACATGGATAAAAGACACGTGTGTACCGCGAGATGCTGACTACCTTGGATGTGTTTTTAGGACATTCTAAAACTTTCAAGGTTCCAAAACACAGCATTTTAACTGGAAAACAAATTCCCTACTAGTGATAGATAGACTTTAGTTGTTCAGTATCAAAGTGACTTGAAGGAAGCTCTGTGTTTGAAGTGTCGTTTGGAGCCAAGGAAGGGAATAAAATCTCTCCTGGAGACCACTGCGAGCTTCATAAGAGATGCTCTGATTGATCCAATACACCTGATTTGGTTATATAAAAAAAAAGGCTAGTGTGACCGGGGAGTTTATTGTCTTCTAAAGTACATCAAACAAAAAGAACTCACAAAATAAATCAGATTACAAAAGGTGGTCCCTGAAACATTTCCTCATGCTTATCACTTTGAATATATGCCTCAGAAAGCAACTTTAAACGTCATAGAATAGCATAAACTTCTTTCAACCTTAGCTTTTTGTGTGCGGTGATTTCACACAATAAATAAATGGACAGATTTTTTCTTTGAAGAACACAGGATTTACCTGAAAGTCAAGGATCTTGAGGCAACAGAAAGTGAAAAAGATCGTAAAAAGTAAGTGATGAATTGCTTTTCCAGCTATCTGCGCAACTTCGGCGAGTTGAAAAAGAATCTGTCACTCAAAAGAGAGTTAGAAAGGTGCTGGAGTGTTTTCCAATGTGACCCCTCCGACGGTCAAGTCAATATATGTGAAAAAGGGGTGAAAACACTGTTGTATTGCTCAATAAGATTCGCGTACCTTTCTTTTTGTTTGTGAGGACTATTTATACTTTATGGAGGTACTCATTGCGGACAAGTGAGCCTCAAGGGGGAAGTCCCCCATTGGCCCATTTGACAGGCAGCAGGCGGTGGTGCTCAGTCATTGAGCAGAGTGTCTTCTATTTTGCGTGAGAGGACTATAAGGATTAATTGCTCGGAGTCCAGAGCACTTAATGTTCTTCCTTTGGGAATCTCCAAGCAATAAACACGTCCCATCCCTCTGATGAATCATTAATTGCCTTGCTGTGATGGCTGTGAACGAGTAGGAACATCTTTGTTTTTTGGCCCCTAATTATGTACTCTTTGCCACGTGATATGTCATCATTGGGTGTGGGTATGTCCCCCTTGCCATTTTGACTGTTTTGAAAAGAAAAGTTAATGATTATTGACCAAATTTAATTTCAAATAACGATAACCGTCATTTTGACACCTCTGCTTCAGAGTCTTGGAGTCAAGGTGACGTGTTTGGAATTGGATCTCGAGGTCATTCTTCATGCCGAGGACACGCGTCAATCGCATACGGTGTCGAGGGGAATTGAATCGAGGATACGTGTCACAATCTGAGCACTCCGAGGGGTATATGAAGAGGACACGTGTCGTTTGCAGGACTCGATAGAACCACTAGTGCCAAGGACGTGTGTTGCCATCGGATGGAAACGAGGAACTCTAGTGTCAAGTACACGTGTCGTAATTCCAGAACTCCTAAGAACTTTGGTGTCGAGGACACGTGTCATAATTCCAGCACTCTGAGGAGCTCTGGTGCTGTGAACATGTGTCATTTTCTGCTGATGGCTTGGAAATATTCCATCACTTACTATAATGCTCTAGGTTCTACATGCTCTCCTTTATTCCTTGACCTTTCCTTTACCCTTGATTGAAAGAAAGAAACTCATGGAAGATCTTATAATTTTGGAACATCTTATCATTGCCTCCAAAATATGAGTCATGAACATACCCATTTACACAAGTAGGATTGATAATCGAGTCATGTCTATCGAACTCATTTTAAATGAGTAAAAAAATTATTCAAACTCGACTTGTTTAGAATCAAGCTCGAATCAAGTTTAAAACGAACCAAACTCAAGTCGAGTTCAAGCTAAACCTAAGCCAAGTCCATGTAGCTGGACTCGATTATTAACCCTACACACTAGTAGATGAATCAATTGCAGAACACTTCGAAACATCCGTTGGACTTTTTTGTACAAAAGAGAGTAAATGCAGTTGTCTGGGTTGTTAAAACCTTGATATGGTTTGTGAGACACATTTAACTTATGCTTTTAGAGTAATTAGTTGTTTTATACTCTAATAGAGCTATAAATTCATGGGGTTTCGGGTTGAAGCCTCAGTTGAAAGCAAGTAAAAAAAATTGAACCGTTCAATAGGCTTAACAATTCTAGAAAAGATTTGCAAACACGACATAAAAACTACATAGAATCAGTGGGTTTGAGCCAAGGGCGGAACCAGAATTTTAGGTTAGATGGGATAAAAATACAAATAAAAAATTAATCAACTAGCACAAATAATTTTTCCAAGCCTCTATTAATGAAAACTTAATTGGATTTGATTTTGATATAAAGAAATCCTTAAGTTCTAGCACGAGATAGAACTAGTATCAATTCAGCCTCAACAAAATATGTACATGGAACATGATGTTATTGTTACAAATTTCAAAAAATCATCTATAATTGATTGATTAAATGCTAAATTTTTCAACGATTTTCTTTTGATGTATGCAATCACATATCATCATTAATCATACTACAAAAGTCTAATTGTGACATCCCTCATCTTGTTCAGAAATTAATTCTTTGGACAAACAAACGGTTTTGGCCGACAATTTTGCACTTTCGCGCCACTTACTTCAGTAGGAAATATTACTAGGACCACTACACAAATATTCCAAAAGTTACGGTCGCAATTTAATAAATTAAGAATAGTTATGATTTTATAGCGATAAATATGGAGGGCATATACATGATTAGCCAAAAGACTCCCCCCCCCCCCACCCCCGCCGCGCGCGCGGGGTGTCTTTTGAACTTAGTCCTAAAGGGTTATAGTGGTAAGAAAAATAGGTAGACTGTTTGGCAAGTCTAATAAATAAGTCGATAGGATTTCAACTAAATACAATGAAAATTCGACAGAACACAATGTTTTTACAACATAAACTTGACTGTCCATTTCCATAAATAAGTGGGCTATAAATTAAGCAAATTTTAAACTATACCGCTTAGAGATAATACGAACCCAACACTATACTACCCCATTACCCATTGCCATCCCTACAGTGCTAGTCATGACACCATGCCAAGCATTACATAAATTATATGAACCATGGCCAGATTCTTAAGAAAGAAAACCCTATTTGTGTACCCTCTTTTCGAATCTTAATCATGAGCTGCTTGATGCTACCACCATACTTCACTGAATATTCTTTCCAATTAAGTAATATGAAGTGGGATTGAAATTGGAGAACATATTGATATACAAATATTATTTCTCTGGTTGAAGAACAAACAAGGATAGAAAAGCATAATAACTTCTAGACAAGTCAGTTAGAGCCTGGCACTGGGCTAAAGAACTCATTGACAAAAACATCACATAGTCTTGGAACATTAATGTTTGACCCAAGAGATGGTTTGGATATCGTTTATATATTACCAGAATATTAAAGTTGGGTCTCTTAATGTTAATATTTACAACCAACTTTCTTGTTTAGATGGTGACCGTCTACGAGGGCTCCTCCGAAATATCAAAATATCGCCCTAATCTTGGCTTTAAATTTTTTTTATATTGGGATGGTACAAGGTGCTTTAGTATGCAAATAATGAATCAAGGAATATAGTTCTCTATGTGTGTCTCAGTGACCGAGTGCGTGATGAGAGAGAGAGAGAGTGCCTTAGCAAAACATACGTTTGATATTTTACTGCAAATTTTGATATTTTCTGTTTAAAAAATGGTATGCGGTGTTTGATAAAACTGAGAGTTGAACACTTAAAATTGAATGCTAAATTTTAAATGTTGAATACTGAATTTTTTAATTTGCAAACTATTTGGTATCAACTGAAATTTAAGTATTAAATTGAATCAAGTTGTTTAACAAATATAAGAAGTTGAAGTTTGAAAATTATTATTATTCTAATTTTGTCAATCTTTTTAACTATTTATTTGCAATTACCTTATTCCTACCACTATCATCACAATGGTGGTCGTGGCGGCGGCAACGACAACGATGATTGTTGTAGCGGTAGTGGCATAATGATGATAGTGACAATGATATAATGGCGACTATAATGATGATGGTTATGGCGGTGACACAATGTGGCGGTGGCGAACGTGGTGGCGTTGGTACAATGGCAATGGTAGCGGTGGTACAATGACAATGATAAAATACATTGAGAGTATATTTGTTGATTACGAGGAATTGATAAAATCCTTATTAACCAATAAGACTAATCTCAACTTCTACCCTGAAAGATTACTCAAAATTTTAATTTGTACCCTCAAAATTTAAAAATATTAATTTACACCATAAAAGACATAAATTTGTATTAATGTGCACCGAGGGTTAACTATTATCCATTTTGCCGTTAAAAAAGTTTGAAATAACTATAAATTACACCTTCAAAATTTAAATATTTTACATTTATGATTAAAGAAAATTCCATCAATTAACACTCGTTAAATACCTCTTAATTGTATCGTATCATTTTTGTGTTGTGTTCGAGTCGATGAAAAAATATTTTTAACACAAAAATATTTTTGTGTCAAGTCAATTGCGTTGTGTCGTATATTTAACATTTACGATAATTTATATAATACTATTTAATATTTTTTAAAATTATAAAAATACCTATTTTTACCTATAATACTTATTAAATAGTTACTTTTTGCCTATAGTTGTGTTATTCATGTCTAACTTTAATTTGATCAAATAATCAAAAGATTTGTATCTAACTATAGACAGAAAATAGTTATTTAACAAATATTGTAAACAAAAAATAGATATTTTATATATTTTTTTAAATTTAAAAAATATTTTTTTATTGACTCGAACATGACACAAAAATATTATAACATGATACAATTGAAAACTATTTAACAAACATTAATGGAAGAAATTTTTTTCGGATCATAAATATGAATATTTAAATTGTAAGGGTGCAATTTATAATTAGTCCAATTTTTTTTAACTGTAAAATGGATGAAAATTAATCTCAGGTGTACATTGATACAAATTTATATCTTTTAGGATATAAATTAATATTTTTAAACTTTGAGGGTATAAATTAAGATTCAAGTGATCTTTTAGGGTACAAATTTAGATTAACCCTAACTAATAATTTCAATACTAAGTGATAAATAGGTGTCTTGCTACTTAAAATTTTAACCTATTTTAAAAAGTGCTTAAAATATTAAATGACATGAGTTTGAGGTATCAAAAGAGTGCTTAAGGTATTCAGATTTAAGCCTTAAATACTGTTATCAAACAGTCTCATAGCAGACGTTTGATTTTGGGAGATTTTGAAATCAATATAAGTAGTTGACAGGAAAATATGTGAGACTCAATATTTGAGGGGACAAAATAAGAGTAGAGCCATAGTTGAAGGGGTAAAAATATAATTTACCCTTTCAAAATTCACTGCAGATGAAAATGTCCCGCCCGTCTCTGGATTGGTCCTCTCTGCTCTGCCATCCTTCACGATCTCTTCCAGCATTTCTCTTTTCTCTCTCTCTGCTCTCTCCTCCCTCTCTCACCTGCCAATTTTGGAGATCCATTGGACAGACTCTCTTTGGCGACCAACTCGCCGCACTCTTCTCTCTTACTGTCTTTTTCCAGTGGCGCAACCGCCAGCTCCTAGCGAAGAAAACCTAACCTCCGGGAGCACTCTCTCACATGTAACTCCTTCTCCCTCTCTCCATTCCTTTTTCTCTTCTATCATGAGCTTCCACCACCGAACCCCATCCCCGCCGGACCCACCCCGCAGCCATCCACCACAGTCCCAACGTTCGCCACTGCCACAGTCAAACAACCAACCACCGCCTTCAACCCTTTCCTCCTCTCCCTCACGACCACCAGCGACCAACAAAGTCCCACCATGCATCAATTGTTTGTTGAAATGACCGACAGAATGTGGATGATTACCGTGGTATGATTGCGATTGGGTCTGGTAGTTGATCAAGTGGATTTTGTGGTGGGGGGATGCAATGGTGGATAGGTTAAGGTGGGGGGATGAGTTCTTGAAGAAGAGGATAGGACAGGCTAGGAATCCCAATATATGTCCTCGGGCGTTGAAGAAGATGAAAAAGTATGTGATTAAATGTCTACTCATTAGCTCTGTGTTGATTTTTTTGGTCTAATTGTTTAACATATAGTGGTTTTTCATGCTGGCCTGTTAATTGATCACTCTATGATGTCCTCATTACTTGGTCATGAATTGCTTATCTGTTTAATTGAGGAATGGTCTGAGCACAAGCGTGCATGTGTTAAATTATGACAAGAATTGTATGTAATTGAATGATGTAGAATTGAAAAAATGACAATAAATTTTTGTTGATTCTGAGTTACACTTGCTGTGAAGATTTCCTTAGATCACACGTTTTTGAGTAATCATTTGAATGTTTCCCAATCACCATTTGAACAGTATTCTCTGAACTACGTTTTGATATCCTTTGATGATTGATTTTTCCTGGGGTTGATAAAGAGGTTATGAATTGTAGGATTTTAAGGGGGTTTTGACTGATTTTTCTGTTTACAATTCATCCGTGACTACTTTTTCAGTTTTTAATTGGTCTGAAAGCAAGTGCTAACTTTATGTAATGATATGAATGCCATTGATATTCATTTTGAAAATTATTCCTTATGCTTCCCTTTTGTTTTGCATCAGTTCATTTAGCTTTTTGAATCGAGATGAAAGGCATCTTGGTACTGGGAGTAAGAAAATTTTGTTTGACTATCCTGCTTATTTGTTTTAGTTATTTCTTGATTGCAGGTGCATGTCAACGTAGGGTGCATTACTTATCGTGTAAGGAAAAAGGAAAACAAGAATCCAATGGTTATGACTCATCAATGGTAGTTCAATATGATATTAAACATGTTCAATATTTGGTTCAAGTTTAGATTTTAATATGATAAGTAGAAATTGATTTGGCTATAATTGATAGTTCACATTTAGAATAGAATCCATTTGTTTTATGAGATCTGACTCAAATGGATTTGGCTCATTCTTTGCATGGCCGACCTTTTTTTGTGACGCACCCCACTTGCACCAAGGAAATAAAATTTGGTTCGAAACAGTTAAAACATTAGAAATGTTTCCGTTTAATGGACACCAAAACGAATTAGTGATAGAATATTGAAATTAATGTCTTATGTTTCTTGGTGTCTAAGTATGTTTTAGAATGTTTCACAAAACAAATTTTGACTTTTTTCTTCAATTCTAGCTGAAGGGGTTAATCCTCATGATTACACGTGACACATCATTAAATGTGCTCACGTGATGTCAATAAGACAGGCCACGTGATGAAGGATCATCTATTAAGAGCTTTCCAACCGAGCCGAGTTAATTAAAGGTTCGGTAATAAATTGGTTCTCTTTATGACCGAACTCATCAGTCTGTTCGGTTAAGCAATGAAGGAGCTCGGCTTGTACCAAGCCGAGTCTGATAAAGTATTTAGCATGGCAATCGAGGAAATAGGTTGTGCAAACCAAATTCCTTAATCTGGTCGGCTTAAATCAGGTATGCTCGGCATGTAATATGTCCGAGTTGTTTTTAGATAAACAGAAGGATAAAGATACGCCTATAACTAGGCAATCAGATAAACGAATCAACAAGCTGTAGATATTAGGAAGAATTATT